GTTTCCAGCTCTTATCTGTACCCATGTACATGCTCTAGTCTAGCCGGATTTGTAAGGCAGAATTGGGGTCATGATAGTGGGGGTAGGAAGCATTCAAGAACTAGAGGAAAGTTGTATGTTTCATCGGTGCACCCTGGCTGACTCGTCTTTTCCTTATGACCCTTCTGTAAGGGGATATCCAATTGTCTACCACAACAGGGTAGAACTTGTTATTTCCGGTATTATAGAACATGGACTTGATATAGGGGAAAGGTCACAAATTAATCGAGGGTACAGGTATTTTTTTCGAGCTACACTGTATTTTCTTTTCTTCTTCTTTTCCATGTGGCATCTTTTACTTAAACTAAAACTTGTAACTTAAAAATCCTATTTTACAAAAAATGTTGGACTTCCAGTGTCTTGTGGAAAATGGCAAAACTGGCCCAATCCTCACAATGCACCAGCTGTTGTTGTTGTCAGGTGTCATTAAGTCAACTCCGACCCATCCCAACCCTCTGCACACAGAATGAAACATTGCACAGTCCTGCACCGTCCTTACAACTGCCTGAGCCCACTGATGCAGCCAGTGTGTCAATCCATCTTGTTGAAGGCCTTCCTCTCTGCCGCCTCCCCTGCACTTTACCAAACATAATGTCCTTCTCAAGAGTTTGGCCCTCCTGACAATATGTCCAAGTATGTCAGATGAAGTCTTGCCATCCTTGCCTGTAAGGAGCACTCTGGCCTGACTTCTTCTAATACAAATTAGTTTGTCCTTTTAGCAGTCCATGGTACTTTTAATATTCTATTCCAGCACAATTCAAATGCATCAATTCTTCAATGTCTTCCTTATTCAGTGTCCAATTTTCACATGTATATGATACAATGGAGAATACCATGGCTTGAGTCAGGCCACCTTAGTCCTCAAAGTAACATTCTTGTTCTTCAGTACTCTAAAGAAGAGTAAGGGTGCAACACCTAAGCTGAGTAATCTTCCTTTTTGGACAAGCGTTTTCTGGTTTGTCACAACCCCCACCACTGCCCTGCCCCACTTCTACATTTACATTGTCACTGCTTATCTTTCCTTCATACTGATTACTCAGGATTCAGTTTCAGAAGACAATGTGTAGTAGCAAATGAGGCAGATTTCAAGCTATGCTTCAGGGCCCAAGACTCTCATTTGTTACTCCCCAATAAGGCCCACAGCACGGGCACCCATTTTACAGATGAGTGAACAAAGAAAAGTGACATGCACAAGGAGATGTAGCAAATCAAAACTGATTCACAACAAAACTGAATCAAGCCTAAGCCCCAGATCCCCTACTTTCGACTTATTCCAGAATGCTTTTCTTTTCTTTCTTTCTTTTTTTTGAGACTCAGTATTGGTTTATTGACAATGCCCCACGTTGTCCTCTGCTCTCAGAACAGCTCTCAGGATCAAAAGAACCCAACCCAAGTCCCTGAGGTTGGCGTCTTAGCATGGCTCCCCTCCCTGTGGGAGGGCAGAGCAAGGACCCCCGCCTGCTCTCATCAGGTGGCCTTTGGGATGGGGAGATGCCTGAGCATCACACAGCACCACTATCTCTGCAGCCGAGACTGCAGGGGTCACCTTTACTGGGGTGCAGAGATGATGTGGCCCCTGCCTATCCTGAGGCCACTCTAGAAAAGTCACCCCGGAGAGGACAGTAACCAGACCCAGACACACACTTTTGCTCCCCCTCCTTCAGACTGTCCCCACCACTCCCTGAGATCCAGGCAATGGCAAAGGGGCTGGCAATGAGGGAATGGGGAAGGCCAGAGTTCCCCCTGTTCTGTTCCCCTGGTCTCCGAGGGGCCAGAATGCTTTTCAATACACGATGCCCTGTGAATTAGTGGTCTCCTTGATGCCTGGCAGGTCCCTTGGTGGCACAATCAATTTGTCACTTCTGCTACTAATCAAAAGGTTGGTAGTTCTAATCTACCCAGCAGTGCTATGAAAGAAAGGCCTAGTAACTTACGCCTGTAAGATCACAGCCAATTGAGGGGGAGTGCAGAATGGGGACCCAAAGCCCATCTGTAAGCAACTGGACATCCCCTATGGAAGGGTTGCAGGGAGGAGATCAGCCAGTCATGGTGCAGTGTGGCAATGATGAAACATACAACTTTCCTCTAGTTCCTAAATGCTTCCTCCCCCTCCACTGTCATGATCCCAAGTCTACCTTACAAATCTGGCTAGATCAGAGGATGTACACTGGTGCAGATAGGAACTGGAAAAACAGGGAATCCAGGACGGATGATCCCTTCATGACCAGTGGTGAGAGTGGCGATACAGGGAGGGTGGGGTAGAGAGGGGAAACCGATTAGAGGGATCTATATATAACCTCCTCCCTGGGGGACAGACAACAGAAAAGTGGGTGAAGGGAGATGCCGGACAGTGTAAGATATGGAAAAATAATAATTTATAAATTATCAAGGGTTCATGATGGAGGGGGAGCAGGGAGGGAGGGGGAAAATGAGGAGCTGATGCCAGGGGCTTAAGTGGAGAGCAAATGTTTTGAGAATGATGAGAGTAACAAATGTACAAATGTGCTTTACACAATTGAAGTATGTATGGATTGTGATAAGAGTTGTTGTACAAGCCCCTAATAAAATGATTTTTAAAAAGCTCATCGCCAACAATTCCACAATGAAGCACATGGGTCACCCTGAGTCAGAATCACCTGCTTACAATGGGTTTGCTTGTTGTTCTTCTTGTTTTTTATGCTTAGCTTGATGGACCTTGAACAGAATTATTTTCTACTCAATTTCTAACACCTTCTGTTGGTTTGTGTTCTCAGGGAACAATTGGCCCTACATTGCAGATCTTCAATTAGGAATTTTCGGTGAAGCCACTTAACCCAAAACCACTGCCAGCGTGCATTATCATGAAAACCAGACCTGTCACCCATTGTGTCTCATAGAATTCGATAAGGGGAAGGGTTTTAATCTTTACCCTGATCCTGACATGGTCAGACATTGCTAGAGTTATGTTATTCTGTGGGCAGGCAATCAAGTTAAGTGAGTGATGTCTTACGGTGCTGATTTACTGATGGAGTCCATCCGGACAGACTCAGGCCTTTCCCTCCCTCCTTCCAGAGGAGTGTCTGGCATCTCTGTAGTACCACCTTGTGGACCAAGGCCCCCCCACCCCCCGTCAAGGTGTGGTCTCTGCCTCAGGGCTTCCTACCCTCACACTCTGGACTAAAGCTCCACAGTGAGATTCCAGAGCGCCATCCACTCCACTCCAAAGGCCAAGGACATGTTTTCTGGGATCACAGACCTTTTCCTTGGGGGGATGGTGTGATTCTGATCCTCTACGTTGAACCATACATTTCACAAAACACTTATTGTGTAAACATTTAATGTTTTAGAGTTTTTAAAATTGCAAATTGGTGCCTTGAACTATACTAATAGCAGCTCAAGATTCTGTACATTATTTTAAGTATCTGTATTGGCCATGAATTCAACATTTTAAAACATTCTTAGAAAATAACATGCAATTTGATAGTATATTCAATAAAACATTTCCAAAACCCACACCACACACTTATTGTGGATCTTATAGGACAAGGAGGGTGCTGGGTAGCTAGCAGGGCAAAGGCCACCTTGCCCAATAACTAGTTTTCTGATCCAGTTTTTAAAAAAGAACTAAAGTGTTAGTGGTTCACTGGCTGGTCGTGAGGAACAAACTCAGCGATACAAACAAATCACGCAAGTCTCGGGAGGGAATTTACCACCCGGATCGGTGACAATTCAGTTCTAAGGTAAACTTCTCTCTTCCTCTGGACCTAGGTTCCCTGTCCCGTTTTCAAAGAGGGTGGAAGACTTGACCACGAGGTGCCAATTGCAATCCTGCTTCAGACTGTCCCCTCCAGCAGATCCTGCTTTGGGTTGTTCTGTGACTAAGGAGTCTCAACTTACAAGAAGGAAGAGGGGATCCCAGGAGGGAGGAGAAGCTCGGGTGTCCCAGTGCTTTCTCCACCAATAGTTGGGACACTGTGTTAGGCACGTCACCCAGCCCCTGCCTGGCATCCAGTGCTCCAGGCTCGGGTGGGCAGACTCCCGAGCCCAGGTGGCGGCTGCTCCAGCCGACCCGAACCCTGCAGAGCAGCCCTCTTGGGGCAGCCCCGCCTCCAGGCGCCCCTCCGCCTCCCTCTCCAGCTGCGGTCCCGGCGAGCTCGCGAACCCCAAGGACACTCACTCACCGGCTCGCAGCAACAGCGGCAGCAACAGCGACAGCATCAGCATCAGGACCCCGGGCCGCAGCGGCGGGGGACTCGGGGGGCATGCCATGGTGGGGTCCGAGCCCGTGCGGCACGCTGCCTGCGCCGGGCGCTGCGCTCGTCTCGCCCCCTCGCGCAGGAGCTCGGCAAGCGGGGTTCCCTGGCCGGCGCCTCCCACCGCTGCCGCCGCGCCGCGCCCACTCTCCTCCCTCCACCCCACCCCCGGGTCCTGGTTGCCGCCCTCCAAGTCGGGAGCGGCCGGACGCACCCCGCCGCTCTTCGACTGGACCGAGAAGGCGGGCCTGGGTGGGGACTAGGGGCGAGCGGGATGCGGTGAGAAAGAGGATGCTCCACTCAAGCCTACCCACCTGCCGTCTGCTGAGAACTTCGCTCCGGGGAACTTCCTGCAAAGGCACTGTGAAGACTTGCCATCCCGGGGAGTCCAAATATTTCCCCCCAAAAGGCACTCTTTCTCACTATCCGGACACACACCACCCAAAACCATGCACACCGCAAAACCACACACACACACACAGACCAAAAGCCATGCACACCACAAAACCACACACACACACACACAAACCAAAAACCATGCACACCACAAAACCACACACACCAACCAAAAACCATCACAAATGAAATCTTGTAACAAACCTTGAACTAGCACAAAGGGCACTTGCATTTGTACTTTTCTTCTCTTAGAATTTGCACATTTATTATGGTCTTATCTTCTTCCCCTAATAAGAAATCTTCGAGAGTTAGTACGGTTTGGTTGTCATTAAAACACCAAGATTCTTCAAGGCTGGGCCCCAGATAAGTGAAATGATTTTGCTAGGAGCAAACCTAGGGCCAGGACCCAGGAGCTCCCAGACCACATACCGGACCACGCAACAACAAAAAACCCAAGTCACTGTCACGGAGTCAACTCTGACTCACAGTGACCCTATAGGCCAGGGTAGAACTGCCCCTGTGGGTTTCCAGACTAACTCTGGAGTAGAAAGCAAATCTTGCCCCTTTGGTGTAGTGAGGGAGCATGATAGGATGAATCCCTCTTTGACTAAATAAATAGTAGAGATGAAAAGGCAAGGTCACTGAGGGCAGGGACTTCTGAGCCCATTAAGAGTGTCATCATGTTCAGATAAGAAGATACTCAAGATTAAACAGAACCACAGTTGTGCCCAGAACCCAGGATTTCTACCCTTCAGGAAATAATTATTAATTGAACCTGGAGGCAGAATGCTTTGGAAGAATGAGAAGTAGTGCCAGAGAAAGAGGTGACGGAGAAAGGAAGTGGAGGGTTTTATCCCCTAACTCTCCCTACTCCCTAGCCCTCCGGACTCTGGCAGGCTTGGCAGAGGGCCAGGAGAGAGGATATTGAGCAGCGCAATATAAACCTATGAGATTTATTGGCTGCTGCTTCTGAATATGGCCATCCTCCTGTGGCCTCTGGGGGGCATTTGCCGATGTAATCAGCCTAGAAAGAGAGTCATTCCAGCTGAGGGTGTAAATCACCTTTCACAAAGCCAGGGTAGAGACATGTGCCCCAGATAAGGAAGGAGACTGGTGTGCCTTTCCCCCCCATTCTCCCGCCCAGGGGTGCTGGCTCCTGGGCTGTAATGCACTGTAAATGGAGTTCATGCTTCTCTGTAAGCTGTCTCTCCTACCAGCTTACAGAACCGTGGAACTGAACATCTGGCCACTCAGCTTTTGTATTGGGCTCGTTTTGCCCCCGGTTCTTCAATGTGCCTTTCCCAAGCCCTCTAGCCAGGAAAGCTCAGGAAACTTGTTGCTGGGGAGTTTTGATAGCCCCCACTTTTCACTCCACTCTGGCAAAAGTTTAAAAAAAAATTACAAAAGAAAAAAAACAAACAATCTCAAGTGGCTGGATTCTATGAAAGAGCTGAGACTCCTGAACCAACTAACACATGGGATAGTGAAGGGTTTGCCACCTCAGACAAACCCCTCTGCCTGAAAACAAGCCAATTCGTTTGTGGTAGGAGGGTGGGATGAAAAAGGGCATTTGTTAAAACAAAAACCGAACAAACAAAATAGAACTCTCATCAACATGATTCCGAATCATAGTGACCCTACCAGACTGCCCAGGAGGGTCTCCAAGGCTGTGAATCATTACAGCAGGCGGCCTCAACCTTCTGCCCCTAAGCAGCTGGTGGGTTCCAATGGCCTTCAGGTAGCAGCTGAGTGCTCTCACAGTGTCACCACAGCTCCTTTGACATGGGCTCAAGCTGCCCATGACATGGACCTGGAGGCAGGCACAGGTTCAAAAATGCCCGGTCTCACTTGTAAGAAGCCAGCCCTTTTGTAAGAGGAAGCATACTTCACCCTGAGTGCTGGGTGGAGGGCCTGACATCACTGGGCCTTTCATGAGGATTGGTAACCAAGGCGAGTGGACGGGGAGCTTCTTCAAATAAACATGACTCCAAGACTAATATTGACAGCCCCTCCAACACCCCCTCTTTACACCTGTCTTTCTGTGACGGCCAGCACCTGCTGGATTAAGTGACCACTGCCATTGGGAACCTGTGGACAATGACAAATATATCAGCCCTTTCTACAAAGATGATGCTTCTCAGCTATCAATCAGTCTTTTGAAGACTGATGGTGGGTGCAAAAATTATAAGATCCTAACCCTGTAGTGGGAGGGCCTTAGAAACCACTAATTAGGACTCAAAGGTCCAAAGACCATTGTTGTTAGGGGACATTGTCATTGCCATCCCACAGAGACCCTATGCACAACAGAATGCAACATTGCCCAGTCCCACACCATCCTCACAATTGTCCTATGCTTAAGTTCACAGTTACAGCCACTGTGTCAATCCATTTCATTGAGGGTCCTCCTCTCTTGCTGCCCATCTATTTTACCAAGCATGAGGTCTGTCTCCAGGGACTCTGTACTTTCATGGATCAGATTACATGGAATGTGCCTTCCAATCAAGCCTTCTCCCGCTCAGTTAAACTTTAATGATCACTATTATAGCCTGGGAAGTCAGCAAAATAGCAAATGGTTGAGCACGAGTTTTGCAGACCACCTAGGTTCCAGTGTCATTTTCAACTTCTTGTACTTTGGTTACTTCATCTATAAAGGGTGATTGATAACTGTGAAAGAGTTGTGAAGTTTAAACAAGTAAGTATTGGGTGAAGGGTTTAGCACAATGCTTGACAAAGAACAAAACACTCACTCACCACCCTTGAGTTGATCTGACTTAGCAACTCTCTATAGTGTTTGAGAGTATAAATTTCTATGGAAGCATCATTCTCCTGAGCAGTTGGTAGGTTTGAACCATCAACCTTGTTCACAGCCCAACACCTACCCCACTATGACCCCCAGTGGCATGTTAGCATTAATTATTCTGGGAATTGGCTAGCCTTTGCCACTGATGTGCTGCTTTGGAACTAGAGGGTACAATGACTCCTTTGACTAAATATGGACTAGAGTGCTTGAGATGGGAGCCAAAAGTACTGTTTTCTATCCTGTTTTTCAAGGACAGGGACTCACATTTGCATCCTCAGAATTGACACCCTTGTCTGTATTTAAAGGAATTGGCGTTTCCCTAGCACTTCTCTGAACCACATGGTGAACAGGAAGCCTCCGTACTTCCCATTCTCAATGACAGAAACTGGAGCCCTAATAGCATAGTGGTCACAGCTTCAAGCGGTTAGGCCTAAGGTCAGCAGTTCAAAACAGTGAGATGCTTGAGAAAGAGGAGGCTTTCTACTCCGTTAGTCTCAGAAACCTACAGGGCAGGGCAGTTCTACTCTGTCCTACAGGGTGACTTTGAGTCTGACTTACTGAGAGTTGGGCTTGTTTTGTTTTGGGGATGGCAGAAACTAGTCAGCAGGAGGAGCTGGTGCCAGGGGCTTACGTGGAGAGCAAATGTTTTGAGAATGATGAGGGTAAGAAATGTACAAATGTGCTTGGCACAATGGATGGATGGATTGTGAGAAGAGTTGTATGAGTCCCCACTAAAATGATTTTTTAAAAAAAGAAAAGAGAAAGAAACTAGTCAGGTCCTGGTCTGAGATTGACAACCAGAAACTATTTTTAGACCAAAAGATTTCCATTATTTTTTATTTGACTTCATGATAAATGAATATACTAGCTAGGATCAGGACCACAGAACTTACCCCATTGTATGAGGGGTTTTAAAAAATTCATTGAAAAATTGAATGTAAGAATTCGGAATTTTCACATAAACTGTTGGAAGCTCTTCCGTATAACCTTATGCTCAGGTCTCTGTCCTTAGCCTCATGGCTCAAGTCCAAGCCCTTAGGGCTTTCTTCAATGTAATTGACGCCTTTACATACAACTCTGGCGTCATGGTGGTACAGTGGGTTGAGCATCGACTGCTAACAGGTCCTCTCTGCAGGAAGAAGATGAAAGTCTGCTTGTGATGAGCTATAGCCTAGGAAGCCCGAGAAGCAGTTCATTGTCCTATATGGTCAATGAGTGAGAACTGACTTGACGGGATGTCCCCAAATCCCATCACACCGACAACTAGAGTCACATTCTTTGATAAGAATTTGGTAACCCAATCCCAACTAAGAGGACACCTGCCCCTCCCCCCCAGAAGAATTTATTTCAAAGGACGGCACTGAATCTGCAGCTCCGGGAGAGGGACATAGCTGATCAGAGCACACTGGAGCAGAAGGGGCAGGGCGAGAGAGTGGAGCACATCCTGGCCCACCAGACCTTGAGTACGATGTAACCGATTAGAGAAGCCAGTCCACAGGAACCACATGGCCGGCCCCACTGAGACACGATGTACCTCACTGACCCACAGCCCTACAGGGGACAGCACCGGAGACAGTGTGGGAATTGCACCCAATCTGATCCCGCCACACTGAGGCAAAACACTAAGGGGGTGCAACAGAACAGCAAGGGAACAGAACGGTGAGGTCCCCAGGGAATGCCGAAGGTGGACTTTGGGGCCAGGGCTTGGTGCCCAAACAGACTGGACTGGAAAACACTCCTAAAGGCCAACAAACAGTCCTTGAACTAACTACAAGCTTTTCTTTCTTGCTGTTTTGTTTTTTGTCATTGATTTGTTGTTTTGTTGTATATTGCTGCTTGGTTTTGCTCTATCTCTCCCCAGGTCTGTGTAAATAAGAAAGGCTGGAAGAACAATCTGGAGGAGAAAACAACGGGACCGGCAGTTCTGGGGGGACATGGGAGAGGGGGAGGTGGAGGTAAAGGCAGTGGTGTTAACAAACCCATCTAGCTCAGAAGCAACAAAGCCCACAAGGAAAAAGCACACCAGCCTATGCGATCACCAGGTGTTGAAGGGATCAGCTATCAGGCATCATAGAACAAAAAATGGAACAATGGGAAAGAAGGGGGAGAGCAAAAAACAGACACAAAAACCACATGTATAGGCCATTGGACATTCCCTTACAGAAGGGTCTCAGGGAGAAGACGAGCCAGTCAGGGTGGGATGTAGCAACGATGAAACATACAACTTTCCTCTAGTTCCTAAATGCTTCCTCCCCTGCCACTATCATGATCCCAATTCTACCTTGAAAATCTGGCTAGACCAGAGGATGTACACTGGTACAGATAGGAACTGGAAACACAGGGAATCCAGGGTGGATGATCCCTTCATGACCAGTGGTGAGTGGCAATACTGGTAGGGTGGAGGGAGGGTGGGTTGGAAAGGAGAATCTACATATAACCTCCTCCCTGGGGGACGGACAACAGAAGAGTGGATGAAGGGAGATGCTGGACAGTGCAAGATAGGCCAAAATAATAATATATAAACTATCAAGGATTCATGAGGGAGGGAGCGGGGAAGGAGGGAGCCGGGGAAGGAGGGGAAAAATGAGGAGCTGATGTGAAGGGTTTGGGTGGCGAGCAAATGTTTTGAGAATGATGAGGGCAATGAATGTACAAATGTGCTTTGCACAATTGATGTTTGTATGGATTGTGATAAGAGTTGTATGAGCCCTAATAAAAGGATTTAAAAAAAAAATCTGCTAACAGTAAAATACACTGAGGATACATACTCTGAAGACATTCTGCCTCAAATCAAATCCCAACTCTTCCCCTTATTAGCTATGACTTTAAATAAGTCACTTAATCCCTGTTACTCAATGTATCTGTAAAATGTGTATCATATAATCAGTCCCTGCTTAAGGGTTGTTGTGAATTTTCGTTTATACTCACATGTGTAGCTTAGAAAAGTCTCACTGCCATAGTCAATGCTGACTCCTATTGGTTTCCAAGACTATAACTGTTTACAGTAGAAAGCCGAGTCTTTTCCCTGAGGAGCTGCTGGTGGTTTCGAACTGTCAACCCTGCAGATCACTATTATTATTCCCCAAAACAATGTCAAGCAACAGAGTGGTGGGAAGATATTAGAAGAAATCAGATGAAAACTGTGCCTGTTGGGCAAACACAGTTCACAAAGTGGATAACTACCGTATATACTCGTGTATAAACCGAGTTTTTCAGCATATTTTTAATGCAGTTTTTGTGGTAAAACTAGGTGCCTCGGCTGATATTCGGGTCAGCTTAAATTTGAGTACATACGGTAGTTAAAATCACTTTGCATTGGAGTTTGTGGGGCTAGAGTAGAACTTCTCCACAGGCTTTTCCTGTCATCTTTATGCAAGCAGATAAGCAGGCCTTCCGTCCAGTGCTGCATGATGGATTCAAGCAGCCAACTTTTATGTTCAAGTACAAACTATTCTGCCACTGAGAACTTAAAGAAAACAAACTAAGCCTGAGGGTTTTGTTTTGCTACTTGCAATTTCCACTTCCGGTTACTGAAATGTGTAGCTTGATTCTACCTTTCTGGAGAGAATCGTCAGGAAGCAGCCCACAAAGGCAGGGAGAGTTAGGGATCTCTCCTCACACTTGGAAGAAATGCTTCTAGCAGTTTCCTCCTTAGACTATTAAAAGTCTCTGCCTGGTGGGGATGAGTGTGTTGATGGGGAGTGTGATGGAGGAGCAGTAGGAAAGCCAACATCTCTCCCTTCATTTCTACTTCTTGTTGCAGCAGCCCCGGTGGCCCAGTCCTTCGAGTTCAAGGGCTTAACGAGGAAGCCAGAGTGGTTAAGGCCCTTTGGAGAAACAGTAGGCTGGCAGTGGAGGCTGCAGACTCCAGCTGGCAGGTTGAGAATACAGCAGTGCCCTCTGCTGTGAGGAAAGCACGCAGCAGCCACTCTAAGGAAGCGCATGCGTGACCCTTGCAAAATGCAGCCATCCAGCCCAGTCACATTTGTAGGCTGCCCTGTGGTTTCAACCCTTCTTCCCGCCCACAAACTTCTAAGAGTCTTCCTGGTCCAAAACCTGAAGGTTTCAGTTTTGCCTCAATTCCAGCCCCCACTAAGCTTTGGATGTCCATTTCTAGGCTAGGAGTAAACCAGTTGCTATCAAGTTAATTCTCTTCCAGATTGTTTTCGGTAGATCACCAGGCCTTTCGAGGGAGGTTAATTGGCGTGGACTCAACTGCCAACATCTTAGTGAGTAGCCAGGAACATTAACCCCTGTACCATACCCAGAGACTTCATCATCTGCCTTAGAGAAAGCTCGCCATTTTGGTTTTCTGAGCCTGCCTGTAGGTAATGTCCACAAAAGGAAACCTGGGGTATCGCTGAAGGATGCAGTTTAAAAAGTTGTATTAAAAAAGAAGAAAAGTTGTAAATGCAGGTTTCTGGGTCCCAATCTGAGAGTTTTCTGATGTTGTAAATCTGGGTGGAACCTAAGGCTTTGCATTTCACACAGTTACAGTTCCGATGTTGGTAGTCCAGGGTCCATGCTTTGAAAAACAAGGCCTAGAGATAAGCCATTTGGCCACAGCCATGAATAAAGTGAAAGGAGTCTCATTTGGTGATTACTGTTCCTTGAGCAGATCTTCTAGGAGCAGGCTTGGGGTCACACGTTTCTCATTCTGATGTGTTTATTCTCCCATTTACGAAAAGGGGAAGGGAGACAGACAAGGAAAATACACAAAGACAGGCAACTCTACCATACAGCCAGAAAACTCGGGAAAGAGAAAAGAGCTGGCTGGCTGATGAGCAGACAGGAGTTTAGTTGGGAAGAGGAAGGCAAGAGCTCCCATAAGCAACCCAAGATTACAGCCGTATCGAGCTAGCTCCAGGACACCAAGACACATACACCCGTCCGGAGCTCTACTGAAACCCAGGCTTGGGGATTCAATTAGCTGGGAAGCCTGTTTGCAGACCTAATTTAACAACCCTGGGTCTAGCTACAGAGCTTCTTTCTGCTCAGGTTGTCCATAGTTTCTTTTGGTGCGTCCTTAGCAGCTGGTGGCAGCCCCCTCGTCAAGGATTCGTGCCTTTTACCAGGAGGGCAATCTGCTCCTGCAGCTGCCGCTCTCCTTCCCACCCTTTGCTCTGGCTTCGGCACCTCAGCAGCTCAGCCTTATGGTCTTGGTGATGCATAGGGCAGTAGCTCCTTGGTTCACACAGCTCCTGAAAGGTAAGGGACAGAATAAAAGACTCTCCAGACTGGTGCACTCTGCCTTCTAAGTATTATACGAAAGTACTAGAGATGGCTAAGAAGGAGCAGCAGTTTATTCTCGAAGGGCTGGGCAGGCCCTAGGAACTGCATGTTAAAACTGCTTCTCCTCAAGTCTGGGTTCCCTCCTTGCCTCCCATGTCCTATACGTTACCGGATAGTCTGGAAAGAAGTCTCTGTAGCCCCCTTTGAGGATGTACAGTTCGGGGTAGTGCAGGGCAGGATACTGGTTCAAAGTCCTGTCTTCTTCTCTCAGAGAACGGCACCTTTAAAGGAAACCTGCAGGTGGATATACTGGAAAGAATCCAGGTTGAGGTTCCCCGAACCACTCGCTTGGAAAGGGAAGGAAGAACACCCTAAAAAGGACTTCCAGACCCACTATTTTTGCACGCAAGACCCAAGAAACACCACTCTTTCTTTTTTCCTTCATTGAGGCCTCACTCCCAATTAATTTCCCTTTTCTGTCTCAAACTTTGAAATGCAGCATCCCCTTCCTGCTCCTCCCTCCCAATACTTCCCAGACTGCTGTGGAGAATAAGACTTCTCTCATGTATTCAACCTGTCTGAACTGGCCTGGGAAGGTTCTCTGGTGCAGAGTATCAACTCAAGAGCCATTTGCACCACCCAGCCCGCCCTATGTAGACAACTCACATCCGTGGGCCCCTCTCTGAGGAGAATTCACAGTGAAACACGATGATGATTCTTTTCTGGGTATCCAAAGGGACAAGGGGCTTCTTCAGAAAAAAGTTGTACAGTTCTTCCTGACTATATACGTTTAAGGCTCCCTGTGGAAGAAGAATGTTAACAAGCAACTTCTCAAGGACTTGTAGGCAACAGTTAAAAAAGATTGGGCAGCCTACCATCCTGGGATAATGGAGCCAAGAAGGCTAGACTCTAAGTGTCTTCAGGGCAGGCACCCAATTTTATCTTTGCATCTACTTATAGAGGGTCTTGGATATAGAGCTCAGCAAGTAATAAGTACTCAGTAAATATTCAGAGAACTAAATGGCCTGAAGTATAGGGACCGATGTGAGAAAGGTCTATCAGTCAGTGTTTAAAATGTGCTTCTTGTTGGGTTCTTGGATGAACATGTTTTGATTTCTAGGCAGGATCCCTTGTTACCACTTCTACAGGAAAGAGGGAGAGGGTGTAGGAGGGAAAGAGCAAATTGCTCAAGGTGTAAAAGGTTAAAACAAGAAACAGGACTGACAGCCCTACTGTGCCCCAACTGCATCATCACTATTGTAGAGTTCACAAGGCTCCCTCGTCCAGACTCTCAATAAACCGGGATTTCCACTCTGCTAACATCCCCCTTGTAAACTTACCTGGATGTGTCCGCCCAGGTACTCATATGGATAGCGGCAATCGATGATATAAAACTTTTCAATCAGACTCTGGAACTTCCCCCAAATTAAAGCAGCCACCTGCACAGAAACTGCGATTGAATAGCCTTCTCACTGTCACTCCATTCACCCAGTTCCTGCAGCCACATTTGAAATGAATCCAGCCCCAGCCCCCATAAGAGAATGAAACAGGAAGTGGCCTCTTGGAGAATCAAAATAGTAGCTATTGCCAAGACTCCAAGGAAGCCCAAATCCAAGCTACTCCTCTGGAAGCAGGTCATGGCTGCAATCAGTGTCCTGGGAGAAATCCACAGACTTCAGCCGAGACAGAGGCAGTAGCCAGAGATTTCAATTCTTAAAGAAGGTGGGGAATGGCTCCCAACCCTCCACTGGAAAAGAAACCAAGTATTTCAGAGGAGATGGAGGAAAGATGCTGACACCCAGGGAAGGGAACTTAAGCTATTGTAGGAGTGTAAATTGATTCAACCTTTTTGTAAGGTGCTATGGGTTGAAATGTGCCACCAAAAATTATGTATTGTAAATCCTAGTCTATATGTCTAAAGTGATAATCCCATATGGGAAAGGGTTTTCTGTGCTATGCTAATAAAACAGGATTAGTATAGGTTAGGCTTTAAAGCAACTTCTTAAAAAAATACAAACGCAAGTAAACAAACACACAAGAGGCAGCGCAGAGACACAGTGAGAGGAAGGATGGGTGACAAACCACAGAGCCAAAGAATAGAAGCTGAAGAGTAAGCAGCTTCTTCTACACCCAACACAGAGAACAAGCCTTCCTCCAGAGCCAGTGCCCCAAGTTCAAGCTCACAGCCTCCTGAATAGTGAGAAAATAAATCAGCTTATTGCCATCCACTTGTGGTACTGCTGTTATAGCAGCTCTCGATAACTAAGAGGAAATTTTAGAAACACAAATGTCATATAAGTACCCAGTGAGACTCCCTGGTTTCTTTTCTACAATCTAAAGTAAATAGAAAAGTACACAAAGAGGGGGTACAATTTTATTCATCTCAGCAATTGGCTTAAGTCATCAAGATATTAGAAATCATCTATACATTCAAGATTAGAATTTAGTTAAATTATATGTCATATGACAGAATGTTATGTATTCATTAAAATGATAATGTATGTAAAATGATCATGTACATTATGTAATAAAATAACGATCATATAAAAATGATCGTGTTATCTTTTTATTGATAACAGATGTGCGCAATGTCTTGGGGTTCCTGGTGACACAAGCAGTTAAATGCTTGGCTGTTCACGCAGGGTTGACCACTGGAGTCCACTAAGGGTGCCTCGAAAGGCCTGGGGAGCGACTTCCAAGAAACCAACTATTGAAAACCCCGTAGAGCACAGTTCCACTAGGACACCAAAGGTAGCTGTGAACAAAAATCACCATGATGGCGACTAAGTTATTTTTGGTTTTACAACATCTTACATTATTAATGCTGGCTGCAGCATTACATGTTCATCATGATCTCATTTTTATAAAACATCGGTAAAATAAAATCCAGAAGGCCATAGAAAAAATCTTATGGAGTAGTTATTTCTGATGGCAAGATTATGGGTAGGTTAGATGATCACTTAACTGTAAACCTGGGCACTTTTGAGATTATTAATACTATTAATAATTACCCTGGGATAACAGACATAAAATGAATTGTAATATTCAAACTAGATGGTTGCCCGAAATTGAGCGATTTTTAGTTCTTTTCCTGTTTGTGTCTTTACATTCTCTGCCTCTCCCTTCGTTTCCTCTCTCTCTCTCATTCCTTTTATAACAACGATGTGTCATTTGTTTAATTAAAAACAAAGGGAACAAAGAACAATGGGGTAGAGGAGAATCCTTTAATACAGCTTTAGAGTTGAAAATGGAAATCATGTGAGTTGAGCACTGGGGGAAAAATACAAATGGAATCAGGACATTCTGGGACAGAAAGACCAGATGGTAGCTTACGTAACCAGACACCATCTCCAAAAATCTGCTTACCGTTTCTGGGTTGACGTACTTCAGATCTTGGTGTCTCCCGGACACGGTTGGCAGTGCGTATACCTAGAAACACCCAAGAGCTGAAGCAACCGCAAGCTTTCCACACCCAAGTTTGAGATGAAAGACTCATATGTTATCCTTTCCAGTGGACTTTTAAAACCTCAGGAAGCTTAGAGAAATCAGTGCTCTCTGTGCTGTGAATACACACAGCCATTCCGTTTCTAAGAATTTATCCTAAGGAACTAATTAGTGCACAGACTTTAAGATTTGGCTACAAATGTGAGGGGCTTCGAGAAGTTCCATGGCATCAAAAGATAACAGACTTCAGAAGAAGGAAAAACGAAGAGAAGAGACTTTCCCCACAAACCCTTAAAGCCCCCTAGCCCGAAGACTGTAGCAGAGCATGCAGAAGGAAAGAGTGTACAAGTAAATTCCTACAAGAAATTACTGCAGTGAAAAAATGAAATTTCATATAGCCAAGTGACTAAGAATGATTAAACAATACAGCAGAATTGTTTATTCACATCAGTGATGTTCCTAATACAAGAAAGCTTCAAAAAATCCATAGAAAAATAGAACTGAAAGATAATAGACTTTTTCTACTAACTTTTGAAGTCTCATCATTGCACTAAATGAGAAAAACCTTTCGGACCACAAAATATATAACCCATATTTTATGAAAAAACTGAAAAATATATGTGTGCGTGTGTGCATAAAAAAGTCTGGAAGAATATATACCACCAGGATATCAAAAAACTTCTGGCAAGATCTGGGGTAAATTCATTTTATACCCTTTCTGTAACGACCAACTATTCCTCATACAATTTTTAAAAGACAAAATATTAAAACCATCAAGAATTTCATTTTTGGTATAAACATAATGGTGTACATATGTGAATACATTAATACACAAAAATAGAGGTATTGGCTCATGTACATATATTTACAGGGCAATATACTGAGGTAGGGGATGAAATGAACTTTGGGCCTCTGC